CGTAAATTTTACAGATCCATGGCCCAAATGTTGTCCTTGGCCATAAAGTTTCCAACTTTATGGTCTTGCATGGCCATTAAGTGCTAAATACTAAAATCCCTAACCTCTTAACTCATTAAGACAATCAAACTCATGCATGGGGAAGAACTAAGAGCCAAGATCATATCTTTGTGCTTCTAGACCTCTCAAAACGTCTAAAAGGACAACTTAAGTTGGCTAGAGTATGCCATACTCATAAAGGTCAAGACTTGGGACCAAAATGCTTCATGAATCAAGAACTAACAAGATCTAAAGGAATACAATACAAGATCTAAAGGAATACAATCCAAGTTCATAACTTTATACCTCCAAATGATGCCAAAAGATGATGTTATTCTGGATCTAAAGAGTCCCCCTCCTCCAAGGTGATCTTCTCTTCTTCCTCTCTCCTTCAAGACTACCAAAATACACACACAATGCTCAAGAAGGCTCTAGATGGATTAGGGTTTTCTTGGGAGATGAAAGTGGGTTGGAGGTTGATGAGGGAATGAACCTTGGGGAGATAATGATGCTTATAAAGGGCCCAAACCCTAGAAATTAGGGTTTTGTGGTTTAGGCATGTACGCCCAGCGTACGTGAGCTCGACCCTTAACTTTCAAAAATGCAACTCTGGGCCATTTTGCAACATTTTTCATACACAAGGGCTTAAATGCAATTAATCTTCAAACCTAGGGTTAAAATCGATAATACCTCATCATTGGAATGTTACACAACTCCATTTTGTTGAGGCGAATGAGGATTCGTAAGATGCTTTTTTACTCCATTTTCTTCACAAAATGATGATAATTCCTTTGACGTAAACTCCCCCCCCCCCCATTCGGATCCGTAGGAAGTGTCTTTTATTCATGACACAAATCTTTTTTAAACATGAGCTTGAATCGTTTGAAAGCACCCAAGGCTTCAAACTTCCCAGATAAACTATTAACCCACATCCACCGACTATAATCGTCTTCCAAAAGAAGAAAATACCCACTTCAATAAAGGTGGGTGTAATCGGACCACATAAGTCTGCATGAACAAGTTAAAGTGGTTTTGGATCTCAAAAGAGCATTTGGTTCGGGAAAGAGATTCAGTTTTTTTTTACAAGAAAACACTCTTCATACACTTTATTTGGATGTTTGGTCCTTGGAACTCTGGTTGCCATACTCCTTTGAGACAACTTTTTAAAAAGGGAAATTAACGTAACCAAGTCATGAAGTCAAGAATGCCATATCCAAGGCGGTTCGTCCTTCGTGGCTAAAAGGCATATGGGTCTACTGATTCTCAATGGAGATTTGTATAACCGGTTCGATGATCTTTGGACTCTCAAAAGAAAATTTTATTTCTATCGGATAACGTCAAAATCGACCCGTTAATAATGACTCGACTTCCTTCTTCCGTCATTTGTCTGAGACTAATGATGTTATTTTTAAGACTTGAAATGTAATATACTTCATTCAAAAGTCTTTGGATACTATTTTTACAATCGAATAAAATTGATCATTTTCCTAAAATAACAACAGTAGAACTGCCGCCAAATTTCACATGACCCGTAATGTTCCATCCAACTCATGGAACTCTGATCGGTCTCCTGTCATATGGTTGCTAGCACCGATGTCGAAATAACATACCTTAGAATCAAATCGACTCTCCCCTGATGCAAGAAGTTTAACTCAAATCTTCTCTTTTAGCGACACCTTTCCGGGTACATAGTCTTGTGAGATTGCTATCATCAAGATGGGTGCCTCTTCATTGGCTTGTGTGAGGTTCACGTCCTCACCACGGTTCTTTTCTGGGCACTCCGATGCACAAAGACCAAACATCTCACATTTAAAGCATTTTACTTTGCTTTTATCCTTTTTTCTGGTCATTTTGTTTTGCATTGGATTCATTGCCACCTCCTCGACCAAACCCTCATCCTCGACCTCTTCCTTGGCCTCAGCCACCATGACTACCTCTATCCTTTGAGGTGTTTGACGAGCTCCGTTCGTCGGGTTTCTTGAATCATGATTTCCACTTGACATGTGTAGGTAACAAGGAAGGTCTGTCTTCTTGTTGTCCATAACCCTAAAGTCTCTCTTCATGAGTTTTTCAACGACCCACAAACTCTTCCACAGTCATGGCTTTTAAGTCTCCAAATTATTCGATAAATTTTACAATTTGCAGAAATCGTAATTGGACGGCTCAATGAAACTTCTTCACCACCACAACTTCCTTATTTTTCGCATAAAGATTGAATACTAGTTACAATTGTATTTTAATATCATGAAAAAACCATCCACCGATTTACCATCTTTCATTCGGATAACCTCGAAGTCACTTCTCACGGTTTGTACTTTAGCCTCTTTTACTCGATGGGTACCCATGTACATCACTTTAAGTGTGTCCCATCCTTCTTTGGATGTATACTTCTCAGCTAACATAAGTGTCACATCCTCTAGAATTGCTTGATAGATAGCAACTAGAGCCATTCGATCTTTCTCTTCTTCTACATCTTTATCTTGATTTGCATTCCACACTCCTTGTGTTTGCAAATTCACTCGCAACTTTTTATCGCCCACACTAAGTAATTTAAACTTCGTAAACATCGGATAGTGTAGTGTAACACTACCATTCTTCTCAGATTTTTGAACACCTTTACCTTTATCTGTCATGGGTAACATTGCCATGTACTTCGGTATAAAATAACCATGCTCTGATACCACTAGCTGGAAATAAGGATTTAATTATATGCAATATTAAAATAAAATTACCGTTCACAGAATGGGCAAATAAAATGTACAGAAGCATAAGAGAGAATAAGGAAAAGTATTTCCAAGGACTTAATCTTTATTGAATAAAAGTTAAATGGTTACAACTTAAAACTTGGTTACAAGAAATGGTTGAACACCACTCAAACTTATTGTCTGAGACAACTGATATTATAATAAAAACTAAACTACTCATATCTAACAAGATCCCCTAATTTTGGAAAGTATACCATATTTATTAATATAGTAACCAATATGGACTTGAGCCATTTGCTTTATCTGACAAACAACACACAACACTGAAGATGCTTTAAACAATTGTACCCTACAATTGTTTATTAATAAGAAAAGGTATCCAGGAAAGAGAAACATATCCTTCCTAGGAGAGAGAAATCACTTTTCTATCCTACCCTTCCTTTTCTATCATTTCCTTCCTTTTCTATCCTTCTGATGAGAGAGAAAACTATTCTTCCTTTCTATCCTTCCCATGTTATCCTTCCCTTCCAAGGTTTAACAAAAAAAAGCTATCCGATAATTCCCTTTGTTATTGGTATTATCCAGTTTAATATCACACAGGGTTGGTCATATGATTAAATATGTCTTGGGTGGCTTAGAAAAATTGATCTTGCTTGTCGAAGGGGATCTGTAACACCCTCGTCTCTTCGGTATTAACTTGGGAATACACCTACATCAACACCCAATTAACTTTCCTTTGCTACTTTACCTCATGAGTTAGCTCCTAAAAGAAAAACGTATAGGCATCATGACATTTCTAAACAAGTTTCTCTATTTCCTTGGTGTACGCCTTAATTGATTTACATGTTGTACTTTTGATATCTTTCATTTCCTTGATCAATATGTCTACTTTCTTCAAGAATTCCTCGTTTTGTTTGACCCTTCTCTCATCCATGACGTTAATTCTCACTTTGATTCGTAATAGACACATTTCATATACCATCCTTTTTCTATCTTCAAAACTTGAAACTATATCTACTTGTAATCAGAGTTAACTACATATCTTGTATCAGTTATCATGACCTAAATGGGTCTCTTATAAACATCACACTTGTTCTCTCTCTTATCTTTTCGTTTTGTGTTTGGCTAACTCTCAAGAATGTTAGTGTATCCCACATAGGTGAGACACAGTCTTATAAGTGGCTATATATGCTGGAGTCACGCTTCTCTTCATAACAACTCTTTTGGAGAGTTAATCTTGGGCCCCATATATATTTACATGGTATCAGAGTCGTCGTCTCGCACCCCCGTGGCCTAGCACATCTCTGTCTATCCTCATTAAGCCTCTAACTCTAAGGAGGAGTGTTAGTGTATCTCATATTGGTACGACACGGTCTTATATATATATATATATATATATATATATATATATATATATATATATATATATATATATACTCTTCTCTCAATAAGGGCTTTATTGGAGAGTTAATCTTCGGTTCCACATATAATTACATGGTATCAGAGCCGGGATCCTACACCCTATGGCTCAACACATCCCTATGTATCCTCATTGTCTATCATCATTGAGCCTCCAACTCTGGAGGAGCGAGAAATAATAATAGTACATGATTAGACAGAGTACTACATTTTTTTGAAAGAAGTGTAGTAGTGATAGATTTACGAAACAACTGATTTGTCGCTAAATAAAGGCCAATTTCCTACCGATAGCAACGACATATGAATGTATAGATACCAGTCGCAAATCTCTTGATAATAACGGCAATATTACAAGAAACCGGTTGCGTCACAAACTAATTCTCATTTCTACGTAATCCATTGGTTATTCGGATTTTTGTCGTGTATTCCATGCTAAAAATCCCTATAAGTTTTTGTCTTTAATTGTTTAACTATTATAATTAGTTTCTTGTAATTAATATATTTAGCAATTTCCCTAGAAAATACCAACAAATGAAAAGGGACGTTGCTAAATTCAAAGACTAATTAGCATAGACTAATTTCGACAGTTTAATGTGTATACTATATGAAGTTTTGCAATTGAACATCCATAGTTAATTATGTCGCTATGCTATAAAAAATTTCACTATTTACTAAACTATGTCGTTGTATAGACTCCATCACTATCTGTTGGTATTGCCATAGCGACAAAATAGCCTACTCTGATGCATACTAGAATTCATACAAGGTAATAGTTTTGTTCAAGACAAAATACATACTAGAATACAAGATATCAAAAGAAGAATTAGATATAGACAACTACGCACGTACAACCCTTTGTAATTTTACAACAAACACAACTACATTCACATAAACCTGATCTGTGAAGCTATCAAGAAAGTGAAAGAAAGCATGTCTTCCACGATTGTTGACAAGTAAAGCACCACATGCTATCCAGAATCCAGTAGCAAAACCAGTGATCCCACCAATATAAAACCATCTCCAAAGTTCAGATATTCCATTCCCACCACCTTCACTCTCACCTATAACAGGTGGTACTTCCAATTCTTCATCTCCAGGGCAAATTTTTGTAATGGGAGGTCCACATAATTCTTTGTTTCCATTGTATCTCGAAGGTTCGAAAGACTGAAGTTGAGTGCTAGATGGGATTCTCCCTGACAAATTATTGAATGACACGTCTAAATAACTCAATAAAGTCATTTGAGACATGCTTACTGGTATCCCTCCAGAAAATGTGTTTCTAGATAAATCCAAAGTTAAAAAGTTTTTTCATCTGACCAATTTTCCATGGGATCTCTCCAAACAAAGCGTTATGTGATAGGTTTAGAGCAAGTAGTTCAAAAAGATTGGTCAGTTCATATGGGATTTCTCCTGTTAAATTGTTGCTTGACAAGTCAATGCTCTTCAACAATCGCAGGTTATTGATAAATTCACGTTCGTCTCCTTGCCACTTAATCATTGCATTGTCAACATACCTGCCATTGTATGAAAGATTAACAACACCTGTTATATTCTTAGTACTTGAATATTTTTGTATATTCTGTTTCTCTGAGAACCCTTCTTGAACCATGCTTGTAAGATTATCCAAACATGAGGGGATAGTTCCATGAAGATTATTCATTGACATGTCTAGAACTTGAAGATATGCTAATTGACATAATTGTGAAGGGATGGTTCCAAAGAAGTTGTTTGATCTTAGGATGAGAACATACAAGCCCGATAAATTCTCCCCAATCCAAACAGGCACATTACCAGAAAACCTGTTGACCCCCAAATTTAACGAGGTTAAACTTGTGCAATTCTTTAAAGACAAAGGCAGTTCTCCAGAGAAGTCGTTGTTATACAAATACAACACCTCAAGTTTGAACAAAGATTCAATCGAGGTAGGAATCCTTCCACACAAATTGTTGTATCCTAAATTAAGAACTTTGAGTTCTTTGAAGTGCCACAAACAATCTGGAAGTTTTCCTGCTAGAAAGTTATGAGATAGGTCAAGAAACTCCAAATACCCATGGACAATTTGGCATAAAAAAGAGATTCCTCCAAAGAATTTGTTTCTGGAAAGATTTAATGATTTCAAAGTTGAAGGAAAATTCGGTATTGGACCATAAAATCTATTGGAACTCAAATCGATCACTGGATTATCATCAAAACTTGATAATAAATCTGGTACTTTCCCACTGATGTTGTTGGAAGAGAGATTCAAATGATGTAATCGAGAAGGCCACGTGTTCCAAAACTCGAGAGGAATTGTGTCTGAAATTCCCGTATTGGAAATATCAAGATTGGTAAGATTTTTTCAGTGTTTGAATCCATTTGGGGAAACGAGGCCCTAGCTTGCAAGAGCTCAGATCAATATGCTCTACATAAGAAAGGCTTGAAATGTTATCTGTTGAAAGAACTCCTTCGAGTGAGTTTCTTGAAAGATCTATAACAAAAATCTTCGAATTTCCAATGTTTTCAGATATACCACCTCTAAGATAATTGAAAGAGACGTCAACAATTCCAAGACTGGGTAGTTCCCACAATTTCTCACTTATAGTTCCGTTTAATTGATTCTCAGATAGGTCCAAAAAATTCTAGGGAAGAAAACTTTTGGATCTCATCAGATAATGAACCTGTAAAATGGCTTCTTGAAGCATATAACCATGCTAATGTAAGGGATGAGCATCCAGACAAGTTTTTGAGAAAATCAGGAAATTTTATCACAGCAGAATTGTTCTCGAATTTCAAAACTTCCAAATTAGAGAGGTTACCAAGATATTTGGGTATCCCATCTAACATGTTGTAAGATAGATCAAGATCAAAAAGGCTATTGCTAGTTAATGAGAACAACCAATGATACATGGAGGAGTTGAGACTGTTGTTTCCAAGATCAAGGAAAACAATTGATGAAGAAGAGTTAACAAATGAAGAATATGGATACATGACCTGTGAGAGCTCACATCCCCTTAAACTTAAATATGATAGATTTCGGAAACTCGAAATCACATTTACCCAATGGTTTGCTTTATCTAGGGAAATCCCATCCATATTAAGAGTTTGCAAACCAGATAAATGAGACAACCACTTTATGTTTTCTACTCTACACCTTCCAACAAATCCAAGAGAAAGAACTTGTAAGTTTGTGAGGTTTCCCAACTCTAAAGGAATGGTTCCATAAAGAGAGAGATATGAAAGGTCAAGGAAACTTAATTCGGTCAAGGAACCAATGGATCTGGGAATGGTTCCATTAAGATTATTGCCAGCGAGCTGAAGGTAACGTAGTAGAGTCATGGAACCAATGAACGTGGGAATGGTTCCATAAAGATAGTTGTGTGAAAGATCAAGATGATTCAAATAGGTTAAGTTCAGCAGTGAATGGCTAATCTTACCTACAAGACCACTCGAGCCCATTTCAAGCCTTGTGACATGGCCGGTTTGGGTGTTGCATGTCACTCCATGCCATCTGCAGCAGTCATCTTCTTCATCTCTCCATGTGGAGAGAGAGCCATCGGGGTCTTGAAGGTGTGATTTGAAATTAAGAAGAGCATGCCTCTCTTCATCAGAACATTTCTTGATAGCACCATTAGCATCATCTTCTTCTCCTCCCACTGCTATATTTTGGTTGGCAGTTGTAGTCTCAAGGTGTAGCAAGACAAGTGAAAAAATTATAAAAACACATGGATGCGTAATGTAAAAGTAAATCTTGGCGATCATTGTTTTATCTTGTTCCACTAGGTTTTTTTTTATTAATGCATACATGAAGATGCACAGAAAAAGGTTTTGTATAATGGCAACTGTGAAATTGAAGAAGTCAAGTGGTTGGACTAAAATCGGTGTCCTATTTGTTAGTCAACATTTATTTAAAAAAACAAAAATAAAATATTATGCAGTCAATTGAGACTACATTTATATCATACCAATAAACTAAAAAATTGGTTTTGAAAATGAAAATCATTAGCTGTGAGATTTTTTGGTCCTATTGACATGATATAAAGAGTAATTTATTTGGTCTCAAAGTTCAAGAATTTTTTACCTTTTTTAACTTTTAACTTTTTTTTTTATATAATTTTAACTTCTCTAAGTTACTCTCATTAGTAGTCATATTGATACTTCAAGATTCTATGCTAAATAGTAGATATTATGAATGATGAAAACATGTTAAAATTATCATAAGTGATAACTTAACATATTTTAGTTTAGTGTAATTATTATTAACAATGAGATAGGTCGAGCACTATTTACTAATCGAACTTGGAGGTGCGGGGTGTACACTTGGTGTGATAAATGTGAACTCGGAAGTACGGGGGTCCGGGGGTAGCGCCCCTAGATGCAGGGTTTCAAGGGGTTGCAGCCCCTTGGCGGTGTCTAGGGGCAGCGCCTTCAAACCTAAACGGATTTTTATATCAACTGAGACTCCAGTCATGCATTTTTCCGCCAAAAACCCATTGATGACATCATGATGATGTAGGGTATCGGTTGTGTCCAATAACTACCATGTTTTGGCACCATTTTTGGTTTAACCGATTTTAACCACTTTTTTCTCAAGTATAAATCAGATGTAGATGTTCTAGAAAAAAGGTTGAACATTCATATACTCAAAATTACATCTTAATTTCTCTATCTCTCAAGAACACATCAAGTAAGGTATTCTGTGTTTTCAATTCGAATTAGGCCTGTAATTCGAATTGGTTTATTTTTTGATTATCTCACTTCTGAATTCGTGTACCCCATGCAAAAGGGACAGATTACAGATTTCGGAAAGTGTTTGATAAACACGATCCTTGAATCTATCCAAGTTTGTATTTATTGTTATTATGTTCTCTTAATCTCTAACATAAAAGAATAAAAAAATGTCTATTCGAATTTCCCTTTGTTCAGATTTATAAAGTTATGAATAAAATAACAAGTTGTTTATAGTTTTAGGGACCATAAATATAACTTGGAATGTTGGTAGAAGTTATAACGTCATATAAATTCTACTGTGGTGGTTGTGCTGCTTGTGCACCTATTGCATGATCATAAAAGTCAAAACTATGGTGGTTGTGCACCTATTGAATGATCATAAAAGTCAAAACTATGGTTTTATCATACATAAATTAAATATTCTCTTATCTTTGTATCTATGTCAATGTGAAATGTTAATAAGTATTATCTTACCTAATAAATGAAAATCAATTTTGCTAAATGTTATGTTCTCATTGAATTTGACACATGTCATTTTTTAAGAGTTTTTTAATTATTTTTTTTCCACTTGTCATTTTCTTGTATTTTTCATTTTCTTAAATTTAAAATCCACGTTTTAGTGAGATTTATATATGTAAAGTAGATCATTCTATTTAATTTCATAATAAATGCTCTACAACCTTTCAAATATCTTACACTATATATTAAATTACTTGTTTTATTTATTATATTCTTTGTATTTATGTAAAATTATTACTCTAAAAAATATGTAATGATTATAATTTTATATTAAACTTTTTTTTATAAACTCGTGTAATACACGGGTCTCACACATAGTATTTTAATAAAAAATAATAATATTTTAAGACATTTGTCATTATATCATATGAGTAGGAATATAAGTAGGAATATAAGTAGGGGATATTTAATTTCTCTTTATCATATGTGTGAATGTTAAAGAAGGTTACGGCTCAAAAAACTATAGATAGGTCTTTTCTCTTCATTTTTTAATGCACTATAGCAAAAAAAAAAAGACACAAAGGATGGTTAATTGCAAGTAACATGTTTTTAACCATTATTAGTTTTTGTTGTATTTATGATAGGATGGTTGGAATAATGCGTTGAAGACCTAATAGGAATAACTTGAAGAAAGAATAAAGTTTGATCATACTCACAATTTAATAATGTTGTTATTTTTTAAGAAATTTATTCATTTTTGTTGATATTCTTTTAGAATATGTATAATTATATTAAAATGTATAAGGCTTTTAGTCTGTAAGAATATATATGAATTTGTATTTAAGTTCGGATGTATAAGAATATATTAGAATGTTGTTATTTTTCAACATCGGATTCAATATTTTTATTATTCTTCAATAATATTCTAATAGAATAAAATTCTGTAAGAGCATCATTCTAACAAAAAAATATTCTGACAGAATAAAATTGGTTATGTTTACAAATTACGTTAGAATTAAAATTGAGTTAATTAAAAAAATTCAGATTTTTAAAATTTGGAGAATTAATTATCTCTAAAAATCCGAAATTTTTCCTTTTTTAAATGTAGTTAATTGTCCAAAATACCCTTTTGCTAAAATTTGTGTGATTATATGGTACATGCAATCCCATTGTAATATCATACACTCTCAAATCATGTCCATTGATTAATTCCATCCGTTGGTCCAGATCTGTGCATTCTCGCACACAATAGTTAGTAAAAACAAAATAACCTAAGCATATATATATATATATATATATATATATATATATATATATATATATATATAAAGAGAGGGAGAGAGATAGGTAGGTTCCATTGAGATTCAAAATAAAATAAAGATTTTGAAATTCAACATCAGCTACATAATTCATATTTTAATTATCATGTGTTTAGTGTTTGTAATTTTAAGAGCATGGTATTAACCATTTAACCGTAGTCAATACTTATTACCACATTAAATTAAAAACCTAAAAGGTTACTTCCAAGGTACTTAATAGAATTATTTAGTAAACAAAAATAATTTCTTTACTGGATGACAAAATTATCTTAAGTCGTTGATGGCCTTTAACTATTAAAATTGAAAATTAAAAAAAAAATTGGTATATATAATTTGTACTAACCAAACAAGTTGTTAGTACCAAGTATAATTAGTACGGTACTAGTAGCAAATTTTTTATACCAGTTATAGTTGGTACGGTATATGATTTGAGGAAAATAAATTGGTATCCTACCATCTTCACTCCTACATTTCTTTATCTAACGGAAGATATGTAATTTGGGTAATCGTCGATCGTTTCTTTATATTTTCCTATTGTTAACGTATCCTTCAGAAGGAACGTCAAAAAGAGAATTCAAAATTAATACCGGCCTTGGCCTGAGCTGAACTCAGTCGGACCAAGTCTGAGGTCAAGGTCGGGCCTTCGCCAACGCGAAAGGCATAGGTGTGACAGTTATGGTGCAAAGCGGCGCTATATTCTCCTCACCCAAGGATAACACCCCGGCAAGCGTGAGACCATTCAGGGCGTCCCACGTGCACGTAAGACGATAGCCACGATCTCTATAATAACTAAAAGATCCTCCTTTAGCCAATAGGGAGAGGATGCAAAAAGGACGTGACGAAGGACCTTCCGGTAGGAGTCTGCCACGTCACGCCCCACGAAGGAATGACCCACAGAATCAGTTGAGGTCCACAAGCCTCTGGAACCAGGTATAAAATGATCCTTCTTCCTCGTGAAGAAGGGGGACTTTTTTTCCAATGAATATTCTTTCTCTTCTCTAAGAAAAACACTAACTAGATCGTCGGAGCTTCTTCCTGGGAACTCCTCCCGGACATCGACTAACGACCTGTTTTCCATTTTTGTACTGTGATATCAGGAGAGGTCAGCTACACCAAATCCACCGGCAATCTCAGCTCTACTGTCTCCAACATATCACAACACCTATTTTGTTGCGTTACGCCCAAATATGGTGCATTTTCATTAGCTACACTTTTCTTGCACCACATCTATCGTTTACATGGCAACCAAGAAGCATTAACCTTCTTAAGTGCATTCAAGAAAGAACTTTTCAAATAACTTGGTGTGCATCTCCACTACTTTAAAACCATCCCTAATCTGATGGCTAAACCAAGGTTGTAAACCTTTGTATGTAGAATTACCTCCTATCTTTCGCAAGCAATGATGGACCAAATTTCTTTACCTCGTCGAGTATTGTTACAATACATCTGGTGCGATCAACATAGTGTGGTCAATATGACATCATTCCACGACTTATATGGTTGACCGACACTGATCTCAATCGTTAGCAGCCCAAAATTTCACCAACCTTCTCTATAAACTCTACCTTGCAGGAACATCACCACCTACATTCATTATTGAAAGACAATTTATGTAGAGCAAAACATAGAATGGCCGACTTAACCAAAATGCGTGTCGACTTGATCACGGATTTTAGGTGGGAGATTTGGTCTAGCTTAGACTGTAACACCCAGATTTTGAGGTATATTATTGTGTATTTTAATTTTGAGATTTATGGAGAGACTCGATGAGTTGAGGGTCCAACTGTGACATCCTCATTTTCACAGCCAGAAAAGACCGATTTTTGTTTATGCTTTATAAAAATCAGAGTACTTCTTTTAATAAAAATCTTGCGGAATTTGTTCCCAGAAAAACATGATAAATACGTTATCAAAGAATTTCCGAAGAAATGTATTTTTATTCATTTTAAAACATTTGGGATGTCATCGTTAATACAGAAACATAAGCATAAACAGAACTTGCATTCATTTACACGAGTGATCTACATCTCTTTTAAATCTCTCAGTGTAATGTAACTTCATATCGACACCTGTGATACAAATAAACTGAGTGGGTCAGGTTGGGAAACCTGGTGAGTACATAGGGTTTTCAACCCACAATAATATAATTATTATGTTTAAACATCAAACAATCAACCCAATTACCCATCCCCATTATCTTCTTTACTCTTAAGGATCTACCCTAAGAATCAATTATTCCTCGTTCATTCATTC